CCCCCCCCCCCCCCCCTTAAAAGAAAAAACAAACAAAATTTGTCTCAAAATTTTTTTTCCTGGTCTAGAAAACTTTTTTTCATTTAGTTGAAGCAACTATTTTGTTTGCTGTATGGTGTTGACTTGTCTTTGTTCATTGGTGTCTCTGTCTTAGTTCAGCTCTGTATTGGCCCTTCCTCTATTTATCTGTGTGCTACTTTGTATTTGTCCACCTATTTATCTGTGTCTTTAGCGATGCACTGCTGTGGCTGTTTATTCACACATCTATGTATTTGTCAGACTATGTTTGTATTTATTCCAGCCTTACTTTATCTATTTATACTAATTCTTTTGTTTACGCAACTACTTATTTCCGCAGCTATTTATCGGTTTGTCTATTTTAGGATTTGGTTTTTAACTACTGTTGTTTGTGCATCCCCTGGTAGCGAGCAGGTCTTGAACCCGACACGGGCGCCTTTCGTGTCGAGAACAAACCTGCCGCGCCATCAGTGCAAGCACACTGAGAGTTGCTCTCTTTTTCTTTTTGACTAAGTTATTTTGGGTGTTCGACTAAAAGACTAACAGCAACTTGTGAGATTTGAACCCAAAACCTTTGGTTTCCGAAACAGTCTTTTATCTCACTGAGCTATCTGATCTGACACAGTACTTGTTTCTTCGTTTATTTGACTTCTTCATTTTGAATACTGGAACTTAAAATTATGTCTCATAAGTTTTGAACCCACAACCCTCTGGTCTGCTGTGTAGCATCTTAACACACTGAGCTATCTGACCTGAGATAACAAAATGTTCTTCGTGTATTTGTGGGTGTTGGACCTAAATACTAAGGTAAACATATGTGATGCAAAATGCACCAATACATCCACAACTAAAGGTATAATTATATATACAGGAGTAAATGAATAAATCTAAGTTAACTGCACCACATAAGATTTGAACCCTCAACCTTCGGTATTCTGGAAAAGTTTTTATCTCCCTGAGCTATTTGATCTGTTGAACCTCACACTGGTTTCTTCACGTGTTTGACTCTCATTTTGTGGCAGTTGAAGACATACATGTAGAAGTTGTAAGAGTTGCAGCTGTATGTGATGCAAACATTGAGACATGCATGTCACACACAGAAATAAATGAGTAGAGACGTAAATAAATCTAAATTAATTGTATCTATTAAGATTTGAACCATCACTGTCTGGTTATCAGGTCAGACACTTAACTCCTTGAGCTACTTGACCTGACAGACTAAACATAGTTTCTTGGCATATTTGACTTCTTCATTTTGGGTGTCATACTTCAAAACTAACTTCCCCTCATGAGATTTGAACCTACAACCTTCAGTTCCCCAAACAGTCAGCCATCACACTGAGCTATGTGACATTCATTTGTTTTTTCTTCTGTCCTCCCAAGATGAGTGCAGAGTCTCTGGACCAACACAGAACCACTGACTTTCTTAACCTCGCCCACATCTTCTTCTTCTACTACTGTATGAATGTACTTTCAGAAGTCAGACGGCTGCTGCGTTTTTAAGCAAGAGCCATTAAGACATTTGTATTTGCTGCTCATTGTCTCCTGTTTCCAAGCCCCCTGCGTGCAGGAGGAGTAACTGCTGTCATTCATACAGGGAGCAAACCTCACCATGCCGCCAATCCCACCAGAATAAAGAGCTATTCTCCTAATGTATCTGACTTCCTCAATTCTGGGTGTTAGAACTTTTAAATTCAATGCACCCTACAAGGTTCGAACCCACGACCTTCAGCCTTCTAAGCAACCTTTTATCTCATTGATCTATCTGAGCTGATACAGTTTGTCTTTCGTAGCATCTTTGACTTCTTCTTTTGCCGTGTTAGACCATAAAATTCTCTGCACCTTTCCAGTCGTCGATCACCCTGAGCTATCTGATCTAACACTTTAAAATTCATTGAGTTGTCCAAGCATTGAACCCACATTCTCTGAACACCTGATGAGCAGCTTAACACCTTGAGCTAATGGACCAGAGACATAGAGTCAATAGATTTTACAGCTTTTCCGTCTATTATCTGGGTGGTGGACATCAAAACTCATGACACCAAAGGATCGAACCTGGAACCACAAAACTTCTAATCTGTCGTCTAACCCCCTGAGCTATTTAGCCTGAGACACAAGTCGATAGTGTCTTAGAGCCTCTGACTGATCACTTTGGGTGTTGGACTTTTGAAATTCATGGTCAGTCAAGACTCGAACACAACCTGGAACGTTCTGATTAGTCCTCTATCAACCAGAGCTACCTGGTCTGACGAACTCAATGTCTCAGTGTTTCATGTTTTTCCTTTGGGTACCCAAATATCTGAGCAAGTCAATGAATTTTGAAGCCCAACACCCAAAAGTGAAGATTCGAAAGGGTGAAAGAAGACTGTTCTGAAAACAACAGGCTCAATCCTTAGAAAAGGTGCGGTGAATTTTAAGGTCTAACGTCCAAAGTACAAAGTCAAATATGCTAGTTAGATCAGAGAGCTTAGGGCGATCGAAGGCTTGAGATAGAGGCAGGGTGTTACGGAGGAGGAAACCACAAGCAGCTGAAATTTGAATGTCTTTATTGAAACTGCAGCAAACGACAAAATCATTAGACCTCCTAAGAAGGTACAGTATGTGTGGATGAAGGTAAAAAACTGATCCCCTGTTTTGGTCCGACAACTCAGCACTCATCTGGGGAGAGAAGAAGTTTTTGCATCTATAACACACAATATCACACTTCTACATCCCAGTAGTAGCGTAATATGGACAGAAACCTAAAACGTAACCTAAAAAACTGTGGTTTTATTTTGCGTCTCACTGACCTGCCAGAAGTCAGAGATGGTGTGCGACAGGGGGCCTTGGGTGGCGATGTAAGCCGGCATCCGGGGGTCGTGCTCAATCTAGAGAAAGGTGAGAGAAAAGGGTTATACAGGGGCAAAGGTCACCTTGGAGCTCAGGACAAAGCCTCAGTTACCATGGAGACCAGCTGTGATGATAAGAGCTTGACTAGAGTGACTGCATTCCTCCAGGAAACTTTCTTTGACTCACAGGTCTCAAAATGTTGTGGTCAGTTTGTTGACCAGCAGCGAAAGATTGTTTGTGGAGATTCTCATCTATAACTGATTGTTGGGAACTCATTAAAGTGGATTAATTACAAGACACTTTTGTTGTACAGAGCTGAAGGTGTTAATATTCCTCCCACCTATACCCAGAAAATGTATTCAACATTATACTATGACATTTTTGGGAACATGTTATGTCATGGTACACCAAAACTTCTGAATGACAATATTGTGAAATACCATACTATGACTTTTTCTCATTAAAAAATGAATTTGTATTATACTATGACTTTTTTGATGACAAATTGACGACATGCTATACTATGACTTTTTTTTTCATGATTTTGGACCACATGCTATACTATGACTTTTTTTTTCATGATTTTGGACCACATGCTATACTATGACTTTTTTTCATGATTTTGGACCACATGCTATACTATGACTTTTTTTCATGATTTTGGACGACATACTATACTATGACTTTTTTTTTCATGATTTTGGACCACATGCTATACTATGACTTTTTTTCATGATTTTGGACCACATGCTATACTATGACTTTTTTTCATGATTTTGGACGACATACTATACTATGACTTTTTTTTTCATGATTTTGGACCACATGCTATACTATGACTTTTTTTCATGATTTTGGACCACATGCTATACTATGACTTTTTTTCATGATTTTGGACGACATACTATACTATGACTTTTTTTTTCATGATTTTGGACCACATGCTATACTATGACTTTTTTTCATGATTTTGGACCACATGCTATACTATGACTTTTTTTTTCATGATTTTGGACGACATGCTATACTATGACTTTTTTTTTCATGATTTTGGACCACATGCTATACTATGACTTTTTTTCATGATTTTGGACCACATGCTATACTATGACTTTTTTTCATGATTTTGGACCACATGCTATACTATGACTTTTTTTCATGATTTTGGACCACATGCTATACTATGACTTTTTTTCATGATTTTGGACCACATGCTATACTATGACTTTTTTTCATGATTTTGGACCACATGCTATACTATGACTTTTTTTCATGATTTTGGACCACATGCTATACTATGACTTTTTTTCATGATTTTGGACCACATGCTATACTATGACTTTTTTTCATGATTTTGGACCACATGCTATACTATGACTTTTTTTCATGATTTTGGACCACATGCTATACTATGACTTTTTTTCATGATTTTGGACCACATGCTATACTATGACTTTTTTTCATGATTTTGGACCACATGCTATACTATGACTTTTTTTCATGATTTTGGACCACATGCTATACTATGACTTTTTTTCATGATTTTGGACCACATGCTATACTATGACTTTTTTTCATGATTTTGGACCACATGCTATACTATGACTTTTTTTCATGATTTTGGACCACATGCTATACTATGACTTTTTTTCATGATTTTGGACCACATGCTATACTATGACTTTTTTTCATGATTTTGGACCACATGCTATACTATGACTTTTTTTCATGATTTTGGACCACATGCTATACTATGACTTTTTTTCATGATTTTGGACCACATGCTATACTATGACTTTTTTTCATGATTTTGGACCACATGCTATACTATGACTTTTTTTCATGATTTTGGACCACATGCTATACTATGACTTTTTTTCATGATTTTGGACCACATGCTATACTATGACTTTTTTTCATGATTTTGGACCACATGCTATACTATGACTTTTTTTCATGATTTTGGACCACATGCTATACTATGACTTTTTTTCATGATTTTGGACCACATGCTATACTATGACTTTTTTTCATGATTTTGGACCACATGCTATACTATGACTTTTTTTCATGATTTTGGACCACATGCTATACTATGACTTTTTTTCATGATTTTGGACCACATGCTATACTATGACTTTTTTTCATGATTTTGGACCACATGCTATACTATGACTTTTTTTCATGATTTTGGACCACATGCTATACTATGACTTTTTTTCATGATTTTGGACCACATGCTATACTATGACTTTTTTTCATGATTTTGGACCACATGCTATACTATGACTTTTTTTCATGATTTTGGACCACATGCTATACTATGACTTTTTTTCATGATTTTGGACCACATGCTATACTATGACTTTTTTTCATGATTTTGGACCACATGCTATACTATGACTTTTTTTCATGATTTTGGACCACATGCTATACTATGACTTTTTTTCATGATTTTGGACCACATGCTATACTATGACTTTTTTTCATGATTTTGGACCACATGCTATACTATGACTTTTTTTCATGATTTTGGACCACATGCTATACTATGACTTTTTTTCATGATTTTGGACCACATGCTATACTATGACTTTTTTTCATGATTTTGGACCACATGCTATACTATGACTTTTTTTCATGATTTTGGACCACATGCTATACTATGACTTTTTTTCATGATTTTGGACCACATGCTATACTATGACTTTTTTTCATGATTTTGGACCACATGCTATACTATGACTTTTTTTCATGATTTTGGACCACATGCTATACTATGACTTTTTTTCATGATTTTGGACCACATGCTATACTATGACTTTTTTTCATGATTTTGGACCACATGCTATACTATGACTTTTTTTCATGATTTTGGACCACATGCTATACTATGACTTTTTTTCATGATTTTGGACCACATGCTATACTATGACTTTTTTTCATGATTTTGGACCACATGCTATACTATGACTTTTTTTCATGATTTTGGACCACATGCTATACTATGACTTTTTTTCATGATTTTGGACCACATGCTATACTATGACTTTTTTTCATGATTTTGGACCACATGCTATACTATGACTTTTTTTCATGATTTTGGACCACATGCTATACTATGACTTTTTTTCATGATTTTGGACCACATGCTATACTATGACTTTTTTTCATGATTTTGGACCACATGCTATACTATGACTTTTTTTCATGATTTTGGACCACATGCTATACTATGACTTTTTTTCATGATTTTGGACCACATGCTATACTATGACTTTTTTTCATGATTTTGGACCACATGCTATACTATGACTTTTTTTCATGATTTTGGACCACATGCTATACTATGACTTTTTTTCATGATTTTGGACCACATGCTATACTATGACTTTTTTTCATGATTTTGGACCACATGCTATACTATGACTTTTTTTCATGATTTTGGACCACATGCTATACTATGACTTTTTTTCATGATTTTGGACCACATGCTATACTATGACTTTTTTTCATGATTTTGGACCACATGCTATACTATGACTTTTTTTCATGATTTTGGACCACATGCTATACTATGACTTTTTTTCATGATTTTGGACCACATGCTATACTATGACTTTTTTTCATGATTTTGGACCACATGCTATACTATGACTTTTTTTCATGATTTTGGACCACATGCTATACTATGACTTTTTTTCATGATTTTGGACCACATGCTATACTATGACTTTTTTTCATGATTTTGGACCACATGCTATACTATGACTTTTTTTTCATGATTTTGGACCACATGCTATACTGTGACTTTTTTTTTCATAATTTTGGACGACATGCTATACTATGACGTTTTTTTCATTAATTTTGACGACATACTAAACTGTGACTTTTTTTTCATGATTTTGGACCACATGCTATACTATGACTTTTTTTCATGATTTTGGACCACATACTATACTATGACCTTTTTTTCATGGTTTTGGATGACATGCTATACTATGACTTTTTTTTCATGGTTTTGGACCACATACTATACTATGACTTTTTTTCATGGTTTTGGACCACATACTATACTATGACGTTTTTTTCATTAATTTTGACGACATGCTATACTATGACGTTTTTTTCATTAATTTTGACGACATACTAAACTATGACTATTTTTCATGATTTTGGACCACATGCTAAACTATGACTTTTTTTCATGATTTTCGACGACATACTATCCTATGACTTTTTGATGAAAAAATGACGACATACTACACTATGACTTTTTTTCATTATTTTTGGACCACATGCTAAACTATGACTATTTTTCATGATTTTGGACGACATACTATACTATGACTTTTTTGATGAAAAAATGACGACATGCTATACTATGACTTTTTTTCATAATTTTGGACCACATACTATATGATGACTTTTTGATGAAAAAATGACGACATACTACACTATGACTTTTTTTCATTATTTTTGGACGACATACTATACTATGACTTTTTTGATGAAAAAATGATGACATACTATACTATGACTTTTTTGATGAAAAAATGACGACATACTATACTATGACTTTTTTTCATGATTTTCGACGACATACTATACTATGACTTTTTTGATGAAAAAATGACGACATACTATACTATGACTTTTTTTCATGATTTTGGACCACATACTACACTATGACTTTTTTTCATGATTTTGGACCACATGCTATACTGTGACTTTTTTTCATGATTTTGGACCACATGCTAAACTATGACTTTTTTTCATGATTTTGGACCACATACTATACAATGACTTTTTGTCATGATTTTGGACGACATGCTAAACTATGACTGTTTTGATGAAAAAATGACGATATACTATACGATGACTTTTTTTAATGACATAATGATTGCATATGATACTGTGTCTTTTGTTTGAGAACATTATGGCATGCTATACTATGGCTTTTTTAAAATTAGTTTTTCATGTTTCCATGTCGACCATTGGTGAGTTGCATACTTACTATAGTGCTGGCGTTGATGTAGTCCGAACGTGAAGGGTTGATCTCCGCTTTCAGCTTCACCCTGGAGTGGTCATCTGAGGGAGAGCAGTGTCAATTAACGTCTCAACATCTACGTTTCCCCATTTATCCACTGATACTAATATTCCATAGCTGTCTTTTGAATCATTTCAGAGACATTTCTTCCCAGTTCAGGCTGACATGTTAGGTATCTTTACACTCACAGGGCACAGAGTCGGGGCAGCGGTTCTTCTTGGTGTTGGCGTCGCTCTGAGCCACAGAGACAGCGCTGGGCTCGGCCTGGTAGGAACACAGAGCCTCCCACTCTTTCATCAGACGGTCCTTGTTCCTCAGGTGGTCCTCCATGTAGGCCTGAGGGACGTTAGCAACACAGTCAATCTTTGAGTAAATCATTACATGCAAAGTAAATGTCTATATTTGTTGCCTGATTCATTTGACATCAATGTAAATGCTTGTGGAGGCAGCTGACCAGGATCATGTGACCAGTGGAGATGTCCATGTTGGCCTGGGCTGGCTCCTCGCACCATGACGGCGTGCTGCTGTGGGAGCTTGGACTGGGCTGGGCTCCGTCGCTGAACTGAGACGACACGCTGCTCACCCTGGAGTCGGCGCCTCCGCCTCCTGCTGCTCCTGCTCCACCACCTCCGACACCAGCACCGCCTGCTCCTCCCCCTCCAGCACCTACTCCTCCGCTTGCTCCTCCCACGGCACCGAGGGCAGCAGCTTCCAGGCGTCCGAAGGGGCCTTTAGAGGCCATGTGCTGGCGACACAGGTCCTGGTGAGCCAGTTATGCTTGCATCACTGCTTTATCACCTTTATACTGTTATTTTAATAAATATTTTAAATCTATTAAATGAGCTTTTGTTGAGTTTATTTGGTAACTGTGTGCTGCACAATGTGCAGATATGCCAATATACAGCAGCTCATTTGGCTAATAAGCTTTACCAGTATTGATATATCCACTTTTATCCCAGCCTGATTTTAGTGACCATAATTCTCTTCTGCAGTGGATAAATCATCATGTTGTGCAGTGTTAATTCCATTGAGAAAAACTATGATGAAAATCTAACAACCTTTATTCCATGACAAATACGAGAGGATGATGAGCTAAAACACATCTTGATCATAAAAACTGATACAAAATCTATGGTTAATTTTCGTTGATGAGACAAACAATATTTTGAATTTTCATTGACAAAAATATTTTGAAATTTTGTTGACATAACTTTGTGAATTTTCATCAACTTAAACTTTCTGAATTTTGCAGACTAAAATGTTTTGAATTTTCATCAAGTAAAACTTTTTGAATTTTCATCTATCAAAATGTTTTGAATTTTTGTTGACTAAAATGTTTTAAATGTTTGTCAACTACAAGTTCTGAATATTTGTCAACCTAACCATTTTGAAGTTTTGTTGAATAAATGTTTTGATATTTAATCAACTAAAACATTTTAAATTCTTGTCAACAAATTTTTTTTAAATTTTCTTTGAATAAAACGTTTTGAGTTCTTGTCGACTGAAATACTTTGAATTTTTGTTGACATAACTTTTTGAATTTTCATCAACTTAAACTTTTTGAATTTTGCTGACTAAAATGTTTTGAATTTTCGTCGACAAACATTTGAATTTTCATCTACCAAAATGTTTTGAATTTTTGTTGACTAAAATGTTTTAAATTTTTGTCGCATAAACATTCTGAATATTTGTCAACCTAAAAGTTTTGAATTTTTGTTGAATAAAAAGTTTTGAATTTTCATCAACTGTAATGTTTTGAATTTTTGTTGACTAAAACATTTTGATTTTTCGTCAATTAAAATGTTATGAATTTTCGTAGACTAAAAATGTTTTGGAATTTTCGTGGACTAAGATGTTTTGAATTGTCATTGACTAAAATATTTTGCATTTTTGATGACTAAAACATTTTGAATTCTTTTCAACAATTTTTAAATTTTCTTTGAATAAAACATTTTGAGTTTTTGTCGACTAAAATACTTTGAATTTTTGTTGATGTAAATTTTTGAATTTTGCTGACTAAAATGTTTTGAATTTTCGTCGACAAACATTTGAATTTTCATCTACCAAAATGTTTTGAATTTTCGTTGACTAAAATGTTTTAAATTTTTGTCGCATAAATGTTCTGAATATTTGTCAACCTAAAAGTTTTGAATTTTTGTTGAATAAAAAGTTTTGAATTTTCATCAACTGTAATGTTTTGAATTTTCGTTGTCTAAAACATTTTGAATTCTTTTCAACAATTTTTTAAATTTTCTTTGAATAAAACATTTCTGAGGTTTTGCTGACTAAAATGTTTTAAATTTTCATTGACTAAAATGTTTTAATTTTTTGTTGCATAAATGTTCTGAATATTTGTCAACCTAAAAGTTCTGAATTTTTGTTGAATAAAAAGTTTTGAATTTTCATCAACTGTAATGTTTTGAATTTTTGTTGACTAAAAATATTTTGAATTTTCGCTGACATAACTGTGAATTTTCATCGACTTAAACTTTTTGAATTTTGCTGATTAAAACATTTTGAGTGTTCGGCAACTAAAAGGTTTTGAATTTATGTTGAACACATCTCGAATTTTCATTGAAAAAATATTTTGAATTTTTGTCAACCAAAATGTTTTAACTTTCAGAAACTAAAATGTGTTGAATCTTCTTCTAATAAAATGTTTTGAGTTTCTGTCAGCTAAACCTCGCCTAAAAATGTGAAGGATCAAAATGACTTTAACGTGACCAAAACAAATAACCATTTTCATCTCAAGACGCTAAATCTGAAAAAGTTGTCATAATTAATACTGCATGCTCGTTATCGTGTCGGCCCACCAGCAGATGGAGACATGAAATAGAAAACTTGTCAATATGCAAAATAAGACAGAACATGTTCCATTTTAAAGCCGATACCGATGACGTGCTGATATTATCGTGCATCCCTAGTTTATAGGACATATTTGTAGTTTATAGGCCATATTTGTAGTTTATAGGACATATTTGTAGTCTTTCTCTCCTCACCTGATACTCCTGGTGGGTGAAGGTGCCCCCCTCTGGTCCCAGACCCAGCTTCTTTGCTGCCAGTCGGTGGGCGTGGTGACGCAGGCAGGCGATGGTCATGGCCGCCACCAGGATGCTGCCGATGCAGGCCATGGCCACCAGCGTGGCGAACACCCAGCGGGAGCCACTGGGCTGGACTCGGGTTGCCAGGGGCAACGCCTTCCCATCATTCCTCTGTGGGAGGAAGAACAAGAACAAACAGAAAGGATAAATAATCAGACATTAGCTAACGAGGTGGGGGAGGCGTCTCTGACCCAGCGGCACAAAAACATCCCTCAGTCCTGCTACATGTCCTCTCTGCATCGTGTCCTTTGTCCCCCTCTGCTCCTCGTCACCCCCAACTCTCCCCCCTCCACTTCATCCCTCCTCTCCTTGGATGAATTGTCTCTGCTGACCTCTCTGACCTCCTCCTTCCTCTCCGTGGGCCTCAGGAATGTGAGGCGCTCTCTGAAACACATTAAGTCGGAGCTGGGGGGCTGAAAGGCGACTTCACCTGCTATTATAAAGGGGCCACGGTGGGGCTCAGAGCGCAGCAGAGACACTCCAGGCTGCACGTGGCTGAAGGTGCTTCACTGCTCCACGTTTATACAACAACCTAAAACATGATTCAGTCACCACAAAGTCAAGATGTCCTCTCTTATCTTTAATCTGTGGAGCTAAGAGACAGTTCATTCATCACTGCTCACATTACAAGAAATAAATCCTTAAGAAAGCCTTTAAAAACTCTCCTTAAATATGTGACAGAGTCAGAGCTGCAGAAACACTGTGTCAGAGCTCAGATAATAAAACACCTGCAGTTAAACTCACCAACAAAAGCTCCACATACATTACAAACATCATAAATATGATGATGCAGATGTCACTAAATGACCTCGACAGTGTCACAACATTTTTAATATATGAACATAACTGTCACTATAAAATGATTGAGTCATCTTCATGAGCATCAACGATCAGAATTAACTGATTAATAATTAAACTCTGTGTTAACAATAACAATAAAGTGTTAATGAGCTGGTTTTTCATGTGTTCACTCACCAAACACACGATGCAGAGAAACTTTCCTGCCGTCCTGCTGCACTCACACGGACCAGAAACTCCCACAGTGTCAAGTTAGACTGAAAATAAAGTAACTGCTCCCAGGACTGACTTTCACAATAAAAGTGTTACTTTTTTTTATATATATATATAAAATTATTATTATCATCATTTTGGTACAAGTTTGAATGAAGGATGTGTTTCCAGATCATGATCTTGTTGCATTTAAACATTTAACAATGATGGAAGTAGATTGACTCAAGTCCTGCATTTATTTTGAAGCAGTCTACTTCTACTTTAAACTAAAATAAATAAATTAAAAAAAATAAAAAATTAAACTCCCAAACAGTTTATGCAGCTGAAACCATTAGATTATTACTAAAATAAAATAAATAATAAAATCTGATGTTTTGTTATAAATTGAAATCCCCAACATTTTATACAACTAAATACATTATTATTATTAGATTACTACTTAAATAAAATCCGGTGTTTTGTTAAAAATTTAAATACCTCAGAAATCTATACTGCTGGAACCAT